AAAAAAAAAAAAAAAAAGGAGAAGAGAACCTCAACTCACTCCCAAACACAAGCACTTGAACTCCTTTCTGATATGTATTCATTTCAGGATTGTCAGTGAGAGGCATAGGCAACTTTATTAAGCACAATCAAATACACACTCAGAAAGGAATTTGGCAAGTCAAATATCGCATAGTTTCTCTTATATGAGAAACCTCAAATATAAATAAAGAGCAAAATAAAAAATAGATGATAGGAAATAGCAAGACAGATCTTTTGCATAATGGAAAGGAACCAAAAGAGGGAGGGAGGGGGGAGGATGAGGAGGGGAAAGAGATGAAAAACAAAAAGACCTAAGATGTCTTATGCATATGTACCAATTCTCCAAACAGAATGGGATCATTATATACTACAAACATGGTGTTTTTTAAGTTTTTTAAAAAGAAAGAATGTGGGTACTTGGTGAGGCAAATCTAGGGTGTTTATGTTGTCTATAGAGATGTTTATGTAGTCAAGACAGATGATCTATATGTATTCCTAGTGTCTGTCAGGTTACCCACTAGTGGACTATATTAAAATGCAAACTATTTGCATATGTTTAAAGTTTAAGCTGGCCATGGTCAGGGATTTAGCTCAGTAGTTCTGTCGCCTCCCTTGCAACCACAAGGTCCCAAGTTTGATTCCCGGTACTCCCTAAAAAATAATAAAATAAAATAAAATGCCTAGACAACATAAAATTATAACAATTCACTATAACTGCCCCACACCTGGGGAAAAATTTTAAAGATCCTAAAACTATACATCTCTGAGAATAAACAAATATGCACAAAGCTCCTTCTTGAAGAAAACACACATTCTTTTCCAGTTACTGGAAAATGTGTTACTATGTTTTTAAAACTTAATAGCTGAAAAAAAACCTTAATAGCTGGGTGTGGTGGCGCACACCTGTGATCCCAGCACTCAAGAGGCTGAGGCAGGAGGATTTCCAGGCCTGCCTGAGCTATGTAGTAAGACCCCTAAAAAAAAATTCTGGGGAAGGAACTAAAACAACCCTTATACCTGCTCTGGGGGAAGAAAAAAAAGAAAAAAGGGAAGGAAAAGAGGACCAAAAACTGGACATTTAACTTTTTTTTTTTGCTATGTAGCCCAGGCTGGCCTTGAACTCTCAGTGATCCTCTTGCCTCAGTCTTCTGAGTGCTGGGAGTATAGGTATGTGCCACCACATACACACACACACACACACACACACACGCACGCAAGCGCACACACACACACTCACACATATACACAAATTTCCAGCAAAATTAACCAAGTGACTAGCTTTGTTCAATGTCTCATGAAGTTGTCATAATTTAAACATAATTGTCAAAGTAAATTGTTAAGATAAACTTACATAAATGGAAATGGAATAAAAATTTTAAAATGAATTTTTCAATAATAATTCTGTTTTTAGTTTTTTTCTGGACATGGAGTCTTGCAATAGTCCACACAACTCCTGCCAACTTGATTCTGTTTTATAAAATATGTCTTAATTAAAAATAATAGGCCTGGGGATTTAGCTCAGTGGTTCTACCGCCTGCCTTGCACGGGAAGGTCCCAAGTTCGATCCCTGGTACCAAAAAAAAAA